GTTTTTTTTTTGTTGTTGTTGTTGTTTTAATGTATATGGTATATGTTAGGAGTGTAGCATACTCTTTTACATAAAGTAAAGAAACATCTTGTGTTGAGTTAATCATGGGGTAGTGCAAACTTTGATGATGCACAGTCAGCGCTATAAAGCTATTCCTGTTTGCCAAAATTTGTTGGCTGGAATCCAGGCCAGAACAGGAAACCTTCGCAGCTCATTGACCGCAGAATAATTATAATTCAATTTATAAGAATACCTGCCAGGTTTACAGGATATTTATTAATGACTCAAGTTTACAAAAGTGAGACTTGGCGGCTGTCTCACTAATTAACTTGTTTTCAGCCTGCCCACAAAAATCCAACTAATTCCGTTCATGCCAAGAACTTTGACTGCTGAGAGAGCTCGGCATTACTGGAGCAGTGTGAGCCTCCATAATCCCAAACACCGGCCAAAAATCTTACCTGCCGCCGCAACCAACTCCATTGTCGAGCAGCACAAAGCCTGCTATGCCTGTCTGTCACTGTTATGTTCACATTTCAGCATAAAGCAAAACAGCCGGACTGCCTTCTCCATAGAGGATGTCCGCAATGTGGGGTTCATCTAATGTCAAGCTGCAAGTCGGTTAAACGCTGGCCTGCCAATTCGGTTAGCTAACGTTAGCTAACCGTTACCGAACCAGAGGGTCGAGTAGCCCTCTGACGACCCTGTCTCCTCCGATTATCCTCCAGAAACAGGTAACCTTGACTTAACTCGAACAATGACAACAATGTATGTGGTGTGAAATACCTGTACTGCGGACTGGCACCATGTGTGAACCCGAAATAGTTGCTTGCAGCCATTTTAGCCGAGCTCCCCGGTACAGTACAGTACCACAGACTGGGACAAACAGCAGCGAAGCGAAGGAACTCAACATCAAGATAGTTTCCCACCCGCTCTGCTCCTGCGAGAACGACGTTCAAATAGGACCTAAAAATGGATATAGCTCTGACATATGCACGGTAAGCACATTACAGAGAAATAAATACGGATAATTTAAAGAAAAATAATTAGCAAGTGGTTTTAAAAGATTGTTTTCGACGTTTAAGTGCTCTTCTACTGGTAATTGAGCAAAGACGGAAGTACTTTGAAGCGCACTTGCCGTAGTTGGTAAATCTGAACGGAATAAATACGGTTAATTTTTTTTAATTGTTATTATTTTATTGTTATTCATACAAGTAGTATTCTTCTTAGAATACGAGTGAGCTAAAAATAAAAATCGGTTGCATATTCATTATTTTAGATTTTTTTTGGCATTTATATTCTGCAGTCTTTCATAGAAAATGCTTAATAATAATAATAATTATTATTATTATTGTTATTGTTATTTTGACAACAACAACTGTGGCCTCATGCCATATCAATCCACAAAGACACAAAGGGAGGCCATGTATTATGATTACGAATATCATAATCATAATAATTGTTATTATTTGACATATGACATGTCATGTCAATCTACTAAGACAAAAAGGAAAGCTAATCGTTATGATTATAGTTGTGGTTATTTGGTAATAACATGTCATCAGAGGTGTTTTATTAATTTCAATTTACTATGAGATAACATATAATGAAAATATGGAAGACACTGCCTCTACTATTTATTTACCTACCTACTTACTTACTTACTTATTTCCAAATTCCAAATAACAGCTTTGGAGTGCACGGCACAAACATGGCCTATATGGAAAAGTCACTATGCGGGACAACTGGAGCTGTGAGCTGATTGGCTGGCTAAAAGTGAGGTAAGGTACTGCATACTTCATGTTGTATGAAGAACCGTGGTGTGCTGTGTGAAAGAGATTGGGGCAAGGAGAGAAAAAGGGAGGGGAGAGGGTTTGAGTTGAGAGAGATAGAAAGAGAGAGAGATGCTGTTGCCAGGGAACAGCAGCCACATAGAGGACGACAGAAAACAACTGCAGGATTATCCAGCAGAGTAAAGGATACGGAGACCAAAGCTCATCTCCCCCAAGTTACTGTAGGGACAATTAAACTGGTGCCGTGGAGGATTTTGTTTAAAGGGAAACGATTTGGAACTGATGAAATTGTGAGGTGGTACATGAATACACATGAAGACAAAAATGGAAGCTGGAGAAAACGACCATGGTGCCAGAGCAGATGCATTCCCATTAAAGGAATTTTGTGTCTTGGTGGGTTGAGAAGTGGGCTGTGGGCTCATTCGTCACGGCCAATCTCTCTCCAACAAAGGTGGCCGGAGCAGGAGGAGAAGAGGGGTGATCCACAACAGAGGTCTCCCCTGTCTTCAGACACCTGCTGCCTGCTAGTTGCTAACACTGAGGACACTGTCTACTTTGCATGAGTGTGTATGCATATAAATTAATGAAAGACAGACTGACCCATGCTTCTCAGTTGATATGGGAGATTCTTGCCTGAAATCCTTGCATCTGTGACCAAGGAGGAAACAGACACTCGGACATAGACCTGAGGGAGATTTGGATCTCTCATCGTTCATGTGAGTAAACATATTACTCAAACACACACGCTTTATTTAACATTTTTAAATTCTGCTTGCTGCACAGGTCAGACTTCTGGTACTGATAATACAAATACTAGATTTTCTTTTTTAATATTTAAAATTATTTCAATATTTTTTATGGGATGTTCTGTTTGGGGTGACCTACAAAGGCAGTGGAGCCATTTTATTGTAAAGTTGATGCATAGCAACTATGATTGTATTGGATTTCGATGAAATTGATAAACATCAATTTGTCTATGTTGCTTCCAAATATGATTTAATGGTGCATCCTATAATTTTTGCTTCATTCTTCATGACCAAAGATCTGTGAAGATCCAGATTACCTTTATTCACAAGTACTGGTGCCAAAAACACCATGATCACATTCATATTAAAAATGCTATATCCAACCTTATTGATTGAGTATTTTTGAAAAATGTCTTCATTATGTCTTTTCTAATATACAGGTATTGTTTTTTATGCATTTAAAAGGATGTTGACCTCTCTTGTAGCCATAGCATACCTTGATTGAATCCTGTGTATTGCATTTTCCTTGACTAACATTGAGGGGAATGAATTCATCTGCTCTGGTCAGTTCACGGTACAGCTCCTACATGTGCTTTATGTCTTTGCAAACCTTCACTCCACTCATGCCGTCTCTTCCTAAATATTACCTTAATTGAGGATTTTGAAGTGATCTGCCAAACTACAGAAACTCCTCAAAAATAATAGATTTAATATCAAGAGTACATGATGTTATTTGGCTCCAGTGCAACCAGAAAAAAACATTAAACGGTTAAGAGTGAGCGGTGCTTAGAAAATCTATCCAGTTTTTACACTGAAAAAACTGACAATAAAGAAAGAGTGGAAAATAAAGTGTGCATTTATTGCAGGATTTCACAAAACACCACAACGAAGGGAAATAAAATAACTAATTCAGCCTTTTTTATAATTGCGTTGATGAGATGATAAGAGGTGCAAGAATGAAGCAGGTATTAGTAAAACACTACAGCAGATGAGCCACTTTTGACGGATTTTGACACAGATTCGGAAGCATTCGATTTGTCTGCGGCAATATTTCTCTGTGTTTAATTATTGCAACATTTTCCCAACATTTTCTACACAAGGGTAGAAAACTTCCACTAGCTATACAGACTGATTTTACATAGAGGTCTGGTGTGTCACTGTCATATTTCTTGACATCATTGTTGGATCTAGTAAATTCAAAGCAGCAGAAGACCTATTGTTGTCACCGCCTATTGTGCAGTCAGTTATTAGGCTCTGTATTTCCCCTCACATTTTATCAGAACATCACATATTTTCAACCTTTAGTGGACGGGTGAATGAATGTTATTTCTGTAGAATAAAGCCTCCAGTGTTAATGGAGATCAAAAGGTAGGAGTGTGGAAGGATTACGGAGCAAAGAGGGAGGATTAAGCCAGAACATGGTGCTCCACACTGGCCTCTTAAATTCCACATTGAAGGAAGTTTGTCCGTAATGTCTGACTTTGAGGGGAGCAGAGCCCAGAAAACGGGCTCTTTCCCAGTCTGTCACATGGGTCTCACATGCGCTTTTGTGGGCAGGGGTTTGGAAAACCATGTGATCCATAATGGTTTCAGCCTTTAAATTGTAGTGAAAGAGAGTTAATTATTTTATCAAAAATCCCTCCTTTAGGGCAAGGTGTTTCTCTAGGCTTGCAGTAACTTTTATCTTAACATGATACACATAAATGTTGTTGATTAATAGACGATTTTCCACACTTGTCCAGATCCGTGTTCTTCCCTCTGAGGGATGGGCACAACGGAAGCAACTCTACGAATGGAGCACATGGAAGTAAAAGACGAGTGGCAGGATGAAGACTTCCCCAGGTCAGATCCTTGAATTTAGTATTATTTCATAAAACTTTTACTGATGTGAGAAATATGCACAAAGACTGACATTGGCAGATTCAAGCTATGTAACAATATTTGTATTTCAAGATGAACATGTCTGGACAATATGTAAAAATCTATCATACTTTTTTGCAGACATACTCTTTATATAAATATATAATTTTACTTTGCTTGTGTAGATGTAGCTGTCCTGTGTTCAGTGATCATAACTGGACTTGAAATGGGGTTCAAATCCCTCTAACTGCTTCACATTTTCACACATTGAAACTACAAACTTCAATGTATTTTATTGCCATTTTATGAGACAAAGCAATGCAACTCAATTTTGAGGTAAAAACTATTTTTTTCAAAATGCAAATTTGAAAAGTGTGGCATGCATTTGTACTTGAACCCCCTTTTCCTGATACCGCTATATAAAATAATTAAATGGCTTGCCAAGCTATTCAGCTCATAAATTGAGTCTACAGGTAATTTAACCTCAGCATAAATACTGCTGCTCTGTGAAGGCTCTACAGTTTTGTTGGAGAACATTAGCAAACAGACAGCATCATAAACACAGCAGAGAGTTTAGAAATAAAACTTTAGACAATTGTAAATCAATTGGCGTATTAAACAATATTTGAAGCTTTGAACATCTTCCAAAACATCCATAAAATGGAAAAAGTATGGCAAAACTGCAACCTTACCAAGACAAAGTCATCCACCTGAACTAAAAAGCTGGGCATGAAGAACTTGAATGAGACAACTGCCAAGACTCCCTTGGTAACTCTGGAGGAGCTGTGGAGAAGAACTGCTCAATAGATGTGAGAATCTATTGGTCTTGCACTCTACAAATCTGTCTTATAGTAGATGAATAGTAAGGGAGAAAGGTGGGGGGAAGTTATTTCAAAGGAAAGAAGGAGATAAGAGTAGAAAATATTGAACGTACAGTTTTCTTTATGGGATGTTACAAACGAGCGTATAAAACAAAGATATATAGTTATATCTTCAAGACATAAATGATCCAACAGCAAAGAGTCTTGTAATTTATTGCTGGCTACAATAACATAGGAAAAGAAATGGCTAGTCGATGTGTGCAGGCTGGAATGCGGAGCTTAACGGGAGAAAATGAAGTAGCAGGGTTTCTGTGGTGGAAATCAATCCTGGGCTCCCTCCTCCTCCTCCTCCTCCCTCCTTCCTTATTCCTCATCAAATAGGAAGGCAGGAAGCAGGGGAGCAGGTGCAGCTCAGTCAATAAATGGTCTGAGCCTACGTCATGTGATGCATCAGCAGTGAATGATCAACACCACCACCCTAGGAAAATGGTTGCAGCTTTTGGCCAAAGACACAGGCAGTGACAGCAGTTGGATAGCACAGATAGATGCTCTGCTTTAATGTTTTTTTTGTCCCCACAACTTGGTCGGAAGGGGAATGAGCAAGCAAACCTAATATAGATCAAAAAGCTTAACTGAATCGGCTCTGACAAAAGCTGCATCGTTCTCTCTCCTGCAGGTAAGCTTCATTTGTTATTTGAGTTCATAGACTGGTGATGATGCAAAGATGAAGAAAAAAGAAGGTTGTTCCTTTTGTTAAAAATGATCAAGTATCCTGCAGTGAGCCCTCATTTTTGCAGAAAGGCTTTATTTTTGGACAAAGGAGGCATTGCACCAGTAATCGCTGCATGAGTCCTCAGGGAGTATGGAGTCAGACTCGAGCCTGCTTCTGTGAACTGCAGTCTGTGTGTTCCGGGCTTGTGGGAACCACATGCAGTCACACAATGTACATAAGAACAGTTTTTTTTCATGACGGTGCACTAAAATCAAGTGTGTGGAACAGCCCAGCTGGTATTATAAAAACACATCTTTATGCTGCCCCTTGCGAAACAAAACTTTTTCACGTGTTGTCATGTTATAACCATAAAGCCTAATTTTTATTTTATTGAGATCTGAAATAACTGACCAACACAACGTAGTACATAGTTGTGAAGATGAAGGAGGAACATAAGTGGTTTTCAAAAGTATTTGCAAATAAAAATAGGATGAATATGCTTTGTATTTGTTTTCTGCGAAAAACTTTCAAAGAGGAATCTGCTTGTATTGCATTACACCTACAAGTTATGACTTCTAACTTAATACATCTATACTTTAACATTTTTTCCCATTCTTCTTTATAAAATTGCTAATCAGATTGGATGTAAAATTTCCATCAACAGCAAGTTTTACCACAGGTTCCTAGTTGAATTTAGCTCTGGCTGCGTTTTGTTGTTGTTCTGCTGGAGGACATCCAGCAGAATTTATGGTTTGATTAAATCACAAATTATTTGAATTCTGAATTCAGTTGGTTGAATTAGATTGTGTTTTGGGGTGCCACACTAAAAGTGGCTGAAGACAAAGGCAGGCAAAATTTTTCAAACGTTTATTTGTTGATAAAATGTTAAGACAGCCATGTATCCATTGCCATTCGATTTGCAGCGTTATGCGCTACTTTGCTTCCATCTTGTTGTATAAAATCCCACTGGTATGCATAAAAGCTTGTGGTTTTAGTGTGACGAAATATGAGAAAGGACATTTCCAAAACAGGAAAAGTTTGCATTATTTTGCTTGTTTAATACCAACGATAGGCATGTGAAACAAAAAGAAGCAGATTTTTAAATTGTGCTTCTCTTCTTTTACAGTAAATATCTTGAAGGGGGCTAAAGATGGGGCTTTTTTGTATGCAAAGATGTTTTTTCCATCTTCCCTTTCTTATCTTCTTTACCTCTACTCCCCCTATTTTGTCCTCTGAAATCCATGGCAGCTCTGTAATCTTCTAGTCTCCAAAGCAAGACTTTAATAAGCACTTTTGCCCGTCTGCTTACTCCTCTTGTCCCAGATTAGTGGCAAGATCCCCACTTTGACTAGTTCATTAAACATCACTCTAAGCACAACAGTTCCTGTCATAATGAGTCTGGTTTAAGACTGGTGTGCCAAACTTAATAAGGCCTGTCTTCCCTCCAGGCCTCTCCCTGAGTACGGAGATATGGACTCCTCCTGTGGACTCACAGACAACAGAGTCTGTAAGTACAGAACTATCACTGGCTAGTATTGATGTAATGCTGCTTGAATCTGTCATAAAAGGAGTCTTGCTTTTTAATTTATTGCTGAAGCTCCTCCTAATTCCTTACACGTGAGCCCACCTGGAGGAGGCGGTGGCGTGGGTTCGTCCCACCGCAAACGCCGCACCCTAGTGGCCCCCGAGATGAATCTGTCCTTGGATCAAAGTGAAGGCTCTCTGCTGTCCGATGATTTCCTGGACACCCCAGACGACCTGGACATCAATGTGGATGACATTGACACACCAGATGAAACGGATTCACTGGAGTTCATAACCAACGGCAATGACCTTGAGTGGGAAGGTGGGTAGTAAATTCGTATATGCACAGTTTTTAATCAGAGAAAGAAAGGTCAATGATTTAGAAAACAGAGCTACATCTTTTCAGAAAAGTATTTCCTTATTGTGAGCTATGTTTTGCAACCAGTTTCTCTAAAAACAAAATAATTTCAAAGTGAACAAATGAAAGGCATTTTGTTCTATCAGCTGACTTCTTGATCAGAAACCTTGGATCTACCATTCCGGACTCAGACATGATTAATAAAGAGGCTCTAAATCTTTGTCCAAATTGATATGCTAATGACAAAAATAAAACGTGGCAAATTTAAAGCCACTATCCACACCTTTCAGCAAAAGCTCAGCTAGAGAACATGTCATAGTCAGTTTTAATAAAATAATTTAATGAGTAACTACACTTCTAAAAATTACCTTCCATGTACACATTCTTCTGATGACTTTGCACAAGCACAAGGCAACTAAGCAGATTTAATTTTGAGTCCATCTATTTATACTTTTCATGTTTTTCCTCTTTATCTCCATGATTTTAATCTAATTTTATGTCCATGGCAAAATCTGTCATCAGCAATTGTGTTAGCCGGGTCATCCTTAATTGGCCGGTATCCAAAAAGCAAATAAAAGGGACATAATGCTTCAGATTTCTACTTTGGCCAAAGCAATTCACTCAAACCCCAGACTGTCTCCTGTCCAGATGACACGCCGGTGGCTTCAGCCAAGGCGGGTCCGGGTGGAGGCTCCGGAGCGCCGACTGAGGACGGGAACGCAAACACCGGGCGACTGTGGAGAACTGTGATTATCGGAGAGCAGGAGCACCGTATCGATATGCAAATCATCAAACCGTACCTCCGGGTCATCACACACGGAGGTCGGTGTCATCTGGACAATGTTTGGACATTTGATTTAAAGATATTAACTCAGAAGGATTATCCTTTGCTTCGCTCGTCAGGTTATTATGGAGAAGGCCTGAATGCCATCATTGTGTTCTCTGCTTGTTACCTGCCTGACAGCAGCTGTCCAGACTACCACTACATCATGGAAAACCTCTTTCTGTACGACTGTTTGATAGATCAGATCAGATTTTTTTTTTAATACTGTAAACTTGTAACCATAAAGTCAATTCTCACCCTTTCCACCTGCAGATATGTCGTCAGCAGTCTTGAGATGCTGGTGGCCGAAGACTACTTGATCATTTACATGAATGGAGCCACCCCTCGGAGTAAGATGCCTGGAATCAGCTGGCTGAAAAAATGCTACCAAATGATTGACAGAAGGTAAGCAAATGAGAAATGTATTAAGAAGACTAACATTCAGTAGCGACTTAGGTTTTTAATTCTTATCCTGAAAGCTGCATTAGGGACGCTCTGCTCTGTAAAACCAACGAATATTTTTCTCCAAGGTCAGAGAGGAATGTGTGAGACTGATAATGACACATTTGACAGAGACAGCAACAGAAGCTGTCATGTTGTCCATCAGTAAGCTGAAGGTGACTCACGGCTGCATTTAGAACAGGAAGGAGTTGGGAAACCAGTTATTAGTGTTCAGTGTCTTCTATGTCTGCTCATTTCGGTTGAATGTTCACTTATATCTGGAAAACACGGCTTTTAATTCACTCTGTTTTAATTTTTACAAATGGCAGGTTGAGGAAGAACCTCAAGTCTCTGGTCATCGCTCATCCTACGTGGTTTATACGCACAGTTTTGGCGATATCCAGGCCTTTCATCAGGTAACAGCAGCAAGGCAATCTCTGAATGCCTCCATCCGGAAAGACAACAATGGGCTTATTTGTATCATCAGTGTTCAATCAAAGGTTTATTGGAGGTTTAGAAAATCCTGCAGTGTCCCCCTTTGCAAGTGGTTTAATCTTTAAGCACTCAGTATTATCTGGAAGCTTACAAACTTCAGGTTGCTCTGTAGATAGGACATCTTCCTGTATCTGTGGCTCACATGTGTTGCCACACCTCGTCCTGTATCTAATGCGTTGATGTTCTTCTCTGTACCTACTGCACACTGCTGGCAGGTCTAGCGCATACTGCTCTGGGCGAGTTTCTTCTTTTCCCCTCAGCATTTCAAAATAAAGCTAGACCAAATTAAAACCAAGTTAGGGACTATCAGGATAAATAAAAGTGATCCAATACAAAAACACAAGTGTTAAGTAATGAGTCACATGGCTATTTGCGGTAACTCTTCTGTTTCCCTCTGTCACTTTCTGCAGTGTGAAGTTCATGAATAAGATCCGGTACGTCCACAGTTTGGATGAACTTGCAGAGATTGTTCCCATGGAGCACGTCCATGTTCCCGAGTGTGTGATGCAGTAAGTACATTTCACCGCTAGATGGAGCTAAAGGAAAACAAACAGCAGTTACAACAGTTGTAAAACAATGATTCATGTAAATGTACCTCGGTTTAATAGGCTTACTGCTATTCTTAGATTTAAAGGTTGTAACTGCGCTCTACTTGTTTTTAGATATGATGAAGAAAGGATTAAAGCCCGGAGAGAAAGGTAACAATGCAGATTTATTTTATGTGGTTTAAATGACAACGCAAAAACCCTCATGCATCAAACTTGATAGCATCCAAACCTTTGCTTAAGGGTTTTACATTTATTTAACTGTTGCACACAATTGTCTCTGGATTCTTACAAAAGTGAGCACCACCAGAACTGCTTAGAAAAGCTGTTTTTATGTGTCGGTGTGGGTGTGCAGGATGGAGCAGGAGCGGCGACAGCAAGAGCAGCAGTCAGTCCCACAGGGGCCAATTAAAAGCTCTGTGAGGTACAGGACCATACGCTTCTGAATCCTGGCATATTTTACAGTGTGGATATACATCTGACTCAGGTATCTGGTGCCCTGCTTTTAGAAGTTCTCACTGTCTTTGTTTTTCTATTTTTCAGGCCAAAATCAATGATTGTAGAGCAATGATTGTGAGAAGGACAAGACCTTGAAAGTGCAGGTAAAATGAGCCCCATGTTGTTTTTCCTATTTTAGCCACAAGATGACTCTGTTCTGTAATGAGTTTATCACATTAGCAACTACATACGTCTCCACTCAGATATTAAACTCCAGCCTGCGGATTGCACTTTACAGAGTTGTGTGTGTATACCATGAAATAGGTATTTATAACCCCATTAATCGTTTTTACATTTCATCAAGGCAAATTTGATTTTAACTCAAGTTTGACTTGATTTGCCAATAAAAGCAGTGCAGAATAAGAAGGGGTTAAACAAAACCTTGGTTTTCAAATTTATTACAAATAAAATTGCAAGCCTGCATATCACCAAGAACACACCATCCCCATGGTAATACATGGTGGTAGCAATGTTATGCTGTGGGGATAATTTTCTTCAGCAGGGATGGTGTTGATGGGTCAAAGTTCAGAACCTAAATCTCCCTGAGTGTTGGTGAACTTTATGTCCATGGATGCTCTACATCCAGTGTGAGTGAGCTTGATGTGTTTTGCACAGAAGGAAGGGCAAACAATTTCAGATATGCAAACCTGATAGGGACAATACTCCCCATGCAACTGCAGCTAGTAAAAATGACTTGGAGACCGAGTGCAAGTTACATATTAAATAATATCCACTACTTTGTGTCAGTGCGGCCCATACAGCTTGCGGTTGTAAGATACAACATGTAAAAAGTTCAGATGGTATGAATATTTTTTTGTAAATTTGTGTTTCGATAAAAAGGTTCAAAATCAAGCATTTTAGCTCATGAACACACATCAGAGCTATTTGTGTTTTTTAGATGCACCTTACAAGAATCTTTATATTTTTACAATAAGAAACATTTACTATTGCATATTTAAATAGCTCTGATGTATGTTGCATAAAGCCAAATTGTCCTTTTCTTTGCTCTACATATGTCTACAATTTAGTGGTGCTGTTGTAATTTTGAAAACTTTTAGATCAACTACTTAATATTTTAACAAAGTTTCAAGATCTAAAAAGTTGTTTCATGACAATAGTTTAAGTACGTTTTAGGTTTTGTGTAAATTAGATTTATTTTTTCTAGGGGATTTTAAGGTAAACAAATGTGAATGTTATAGCTGCTGCTGGCTGAAACACAATCATGACTCAGTTGCCTAAAACCCAAATTACTGGACTGAATGGTAGTGTAGCACACCGCAGGAGCATTTCACCGGCTCAGACTGGCTTTAGACAGTTTGAACTGGTTTCAGCCAGCAGCCTGGGAGATACACTGTAAACACAACAGTAAGATGCAACTTTCAAAATGTCATACAAAGACGAATGAGTAGTGTCAAAATGTTGCCAGAGAAAATGATTCTCTAGAATAGGCCTACTATTATATGCAGAGATTGGTGAACAGTAAGCTGTAACAGAATGAAACAAATCATGCACATCTCTTCAGCCCTGTCTCCACCAATAAAAAAAAAGTATTGGGATAGTCTTAAAGCTTCAACTAGCTGTAATTTTACCTCAAACAATGAGTGATCTTTGATCCCGAGAACTGTGACAGCCCGTAATGCAGCCAACAAAGAGCCACTGCCATCCTAAACACAGTTATAGCCTGAGCCATTATGTTTTATTGTTCCCCGTTCCTTTAAATGCTGCAAAGCTTTGAAAGTGAAAAGCCTTCCCCACCCAACAAATCCCCAGACTCAGCACTGCACAAAAATACACAGAAACCCAGGCATTACCATTGTTGCCACCATGACAACCTATTTTTGTTGTTGGAGAGTCCTGCACAGGCTTCAGCAAAAATGTCCTGTTTATTATGGAGAACAAATATTGTCATAAAAATCCACTTTAACTTTCATACCAGACTTTCATATGGCTTGCAATTACTCCCTCATCTGTGTTTTGCCATTTGTACAGTCAGACTTGTTTAAAAGGGCTTATTTCTTTCTTTTTATAAAGATGAAATAAATAGATTAATGGAGTCAATTGTTTTTTGCATGGAAAGGATCAAGTAGATTTTGCATACATCTTTAAAATCTGTGTTTTACATTCCAACATTTGTTTGCGTGCATACAGGGGGTGACGGAGAGAGACGTCTAGCAAGTCGACACTTCCTCCCTTATTTTATGCATAACCAGCTGATTTCTCATTTTGCTCCCCAGTCAGAAGGAGAGCAACTCTGTCATATGATATTCAAAGTGGGATACTCTCCCAGCTTGAAAATGTACAACGACAAGTGGCTGTTCTGTTACAGAAGCTGTTTTCATTGGAAGTTGTCGCTGCCTGTTGCAGGACCTGATTTGGGATTCATATTGAATTGTTGGACCATGATGAGGCATTTAATTGATTTTGTTTTTTGTTTTTTTCAGTGATGTAATTTATGTTAAGAAAGATGATCACTCTCTCTGATTCAATAATAAAGCATAAATCAGAGTAACTGAAAAAATGCACTTTTTAACTTTGGTGGCAAAAATATGAACGTTTTTTAAGATGCAACATGTTGGGGAGGAGAGATTTTATGTGAGTGAGAGCACCACTAAAACAAACTGCTCTCTCTCGCTGCAGGTCTTTGAAGATATAATTGTGTCAGATGTAGCAAAGTGAAAGATGCCTTCATCTCTCTTTCTTTTTACCTCATAGCTGCTGTATCTTTAAGGCCTTTCCAAGCTCTGTCTTAATTGTTCTGGTATTTTTAAAAGGTCCAAATATACCAACATTTCTCTATATCAGTCTTTTCTCTTTCTGGCCTCAGTTGCTGTGTGAACTATTACTTGTACTGTATTGTGGACTATGATGTGCCTGCATTGTACTGATAACTACACATCTGCATTTTCTAATCTGAAAAAGATCTATAAGACAAATTAGCAGAAACATAGTTTGTAGGTGAGAGCAAACTGCAGACAGGGCAAACCTTTAAGTCAAATTTTCACTTTGCTTCCTTCCACATTCATGTTCTTGTAGACTGAATAGATACTAACAGAGCACATGTAGAGATTCCACTTTAGATTGGACATGGGGAATGAAATGCATCAAATTTCTATCTAATGCATTTCTTTTAAGATGTTAGTTTTCTGCTTTGACTTAAAAACACTATGTTGCAAAAAGTATTTGCTCACCTGCTTTTGCAGACATTTGAAATTGCCTTCCTACTTCTAATCCGTAGAGTTTAAAGTGATTTCAGAACACCCTTTGCATCTGCAGCAGCTTCTGATCATCTGGGAAGACTTTACATAAGGTTTAGGTATGGTTTTATGGTATTTTAGACCATTCTTCCAATATTGCATTACTGAGGTCAGACACGACTGTTGGAGAATACCTGGCTTACAGTCTAATTCATATCAGAGCTGTTCTGTTAGGTTGAGTTGATTCATAACTCCAAAGAACAGAGGCCAGTGTTGGCTTGCTTCACACCACCACTACTGAGGTTTTCCATCACCTTTGGTTCTGTAACACATGGGTGGAGCTGCTTGTTCATGGAGACCCACTTCACAAAGCTCTCTAAATGAAGTTTTTGAGCTAATCTTTAGGCCACATGATATTTGGTGGTCTGTAGTGATTGATTCTGCAGAAACTATGACCTTCAGCGTCTTCTATCCCCTCTCTTTGATTACAAGACTTGCCACATCATGGCCATTCTTGTGTAACACCAGTAAGTATTTAGTTGAGAGAAAATATCACACTGGGATTGACTGTACGCCTTGCAGCGACCTATTCTTTCACAAATGTTGAAAGAAGCAGTCTGCAGGCCTGGGTCTGGGATTGTGGCTGTAAAAGTGGCTGAATCAACCAACTGCAAGGATTTGATGGGGGTGAGCAAACTCTATTTGCAATATTTAGTATTTTTATTTAATCTTAGATAAATTAGATTTATGCAGCTTTGAATTTTGCCCGTTTGGAGAGTACCAACTTCAACTTGTTTTTACTAAAAGAAGAAATATTGAAACAAGATTGAACGATTAGAGAATCCATTTTATTGTTATGTTTTCTGTGTTTACAGTCTCTTGATTTATACGGGAAGAGAACATTGTAACCACATGCCTGGTAACGTTTGTGTTCTTGATGTTGATTTGCACTACTGCATTTGGTTCCTTACAGAATGTTCCTGTTTTATGTTCAATGACTGTTTTTTTTTATCATGTTATGAACATAACCCATGTATTTAGCATGTTGCATAAAGTAAGCAGTTTAAAAAAAATTCAGTTAAAATTCTGTTAACTTTTTTTAAGTAGGAATTCTGCACAAAGGGTTCAACCTTTTTTTTTGTTTGTTTTTCTAGGTATCAAGTTTTCACATTGTTTCCAAATAGTCTGGTTTTGTGGCTGAACAGAGTGCCTATTGTTGAACTCGACTGAAATCTAAAGAGATACCAGAATGTAAAGTGAAGCATTTTGTGTTTTCTTTTTTTATTTATGATCTACCAATGCCATGAGAAATGCTGGCATAAACCTGTCCTGTAGCTCTTCTGAAATAAAGATCCTCATTTTGACTGTAAAAGCACAACACAAACATATGTCTATCATTTTACTGTAAATTGTTTGCTCAGATTAAAATGATCATGTAAAATCTCACTTGTCATGGTCTAAAACTGGCTGTAAATATGGCAAAAAATAAATAAATAAATAAATCCTTCAAGGTCCTGGCATGTTTTTGTTTGTAAAGCGTTTTTGTCCATTTGACCTGTTAGACCCTAAAACGTGCTCCTGTGTCTACTGTAAACCGCTGTGTTATGAAAACAGCTACTGGGAATTATATCTGAACAACAGGCTTAGAGAATGAAGATGGGCAATTTTTCCTTACAGAAAACATAGTGTGCATATGTTGTAAAGTAGTTTAAAATCAATAACCTTTCACCATTTCAGCTGGTCAGATTGTAACCTGCATGTCTGAGCAGGGCTGTGTGACGGTTGAGATAAGACAAACGTGAAGTGTGTCTTATCTTGGTCTGGAGGAGTTTTGTAACGGCATCAGATCTAGAGATTTGTCACAATTCACTACAGCCCTCCCTGGGACACATATTAATCTAGAAGAATCAATCTCTGGACAAGTATTCAAAGTCCAGACACGTAGAGACAATAGTAAGCCCAGGGCAACATTTTATGACTGTATATTGAATTAAGTTTCAATTAAAGCAGTTGCTTTCCTGCATGTAACCCGGCTTTACAGACATGAACACTTTATTTTTTATTTAAATAAAACATTTATGGCAGAGATAAAATCATTCAGCAGGTAGCATATCATTGCCCTAATTCCCATTTGAACCACTGACATGTGGCCCAATTACTGGGTTTCCATTTAACTTGCTGTCTAATAAAAAAAAAGCTCACTGTCCTCAAATACCTGACACACATATGTGAGATAATTGTGTCACAAGAACTGACACTCACAAAGTAATGCAATATTAAATGCATTTTTTTCTTGACGTGCATATAATTAATATATATTTGTATTTATTCATATTTTTTTTGCATTAAAAACAGGCAAATCAGTCTACTATATACGTAAACAATTCCATTAGGCTTTGGGTGTTTGATTTTGGTAATTCTAACTGACCTAAACACAGAAAAGAAAAAAAAAAGTTTTTATTCGTGTATGTAAACTTCTGGTTTCAGCTGTATCTATTTTGGTGGTGTGATAAGCTTTTGCTTCTAAATAACATTTTTCCAAGGCTAAGTTTGTTTAGCTAGCTGTCATTTACTGTAATGTGACCTTAACTGTGAGCACATCAGCAGACATCTCCCTAAAAATGACACATCACACAGTTGTTATTTTAGTGCATCCATTCGACACCATCAATGGTAGTTTTCCACAGCTGTAGCCTCAGGAGGAGGATTGACTGCTGAATGGAAGAGTACGGACCGCAGCAGGTGTGGGGGAAATATGTAAATACGTGGTGGTCCTCGCGCGCTGATTGGCTGTCGTTGAGTGACTGCGTGGGATCTGATTGGCTGGCTCGAGGAGGCACGTAGCACTGGGGGGAAAGTATGCAGCAGCACGCTGTAGCACGAGAACGCCCGGTGCCTGCGTAAGCTGTGACGGAATAGGAGGCAGGCTGGATATAAAGTGAAATGCCTCGAGGTACAATTCAGTAAAGAGACAAGCGGAGAGAACAGCATCAGGACTACAAATCAAATTTAAATACTTTAAAAAACTTTATATCTCTTGGAGTTTCGTCCAGAGTTTGGTGTTTCAGATCTTTATATCAACTGACGTCTGGGAAGACTGTCGGAAGAAGAAGAAAAGATGAAATGCATTATAGGAATTGGCGGGTAGGTGTCCTTTATTTTACAAATGAGGAGCTTTTTTAAAAATATATATATAGCTATACATTATTTGTAATTCCTGCTGTAAAAGTTGCAGAAAAGTTAAAACTTGCTTGTAGTAATGTTGAAACAAGTCATTCACTGTTTCTGTCTTTATTTAAAGGAACATATGTAGTTTAAAAAAACAACAAACAGTTTTTAACATTTAATCTGTCTCTAATTAAGGTTTTTGTAAGTCTGTGGTTGATGTCATCTTAATGTCCACATGTTTTATCGGCCGCCCGCCGGAAAAAAAATTAAAGTCACATCCGGTTTGGTTTGTTGTCATAAATCGAGCGGGACTTTTGAAAATTCACCGCGTGATTTTCTTCAAAAGTGGAGGGAGATTTATCTATTTCACCTACAGCCTCTACATTATTTACCTTTATTGTGTTTATCAGTTACTTTTTATTTAGGCCTTTTAGTCAGGAAGTTGTGGGTTTTTATTGCATTCTTGAAAAAACATTTTTGTTTGACTTTAAACAGAACTTTGTAATTTTTATTTTGAGCTCTTTCCTGAGAAATGTTTTTATACAATTGTAACTCCTAAACTTGAAGCCATATTAATTAGTAGAATTAACAGATATTTTAGAAAAAGTTACTTTTTTGAGATTGAAACCTAAATTACAATCTAAACAACACACACAACATAACTGTTATTTATCAGCTATTTGAAGTGAAGCAGTACTCATTTTGTGTAATTTTCTTTGTTTTTTACAGGGTTACTAATGGTGGTAAAACCACTCTGACTAATAAACTGATCCAGACTTTGCCCAACTGCTGTGTTGTGCACCAGGATGACTTTTTCAAAGTGAGTCTCACCGAGCGATTGGTTAGGTTTATTGTGATAATTTGGCATGTTTTCCATTCATTGCTACTTCCTGAGCTTTGTATGTAATCAGAGTGGAAGGTCTGGCCTTTGGAAGCCTTCTCTTCCCCCCATTTCCTTCATTCCCATGCAATTCCTTTTCTATGCTGATCACATTTTCTTTTGTTCTTAAGTTTTCTATTATTTGCTTTTATTCTTAGTCTCTTCTAATCATCTAACTTAATACTAAATATAATTTTTTTTCTTCTTTTTATCTGTTCTCCACAATATTATATTTGCATACTAACTCTTGCTTAGTTTTATGCATGTCATCTGCTTTGTGCCTTCTGTTTTTGCCTTCCTCACTCGTTTAGCCTAACCTTTGTGGCATGTGAGTGAGATCTGCAAGTGTTCAGAGCCGTGAGGTTCCAGCAATGTTTTATTGGTGACTGTTATTTCAGAAACCCGATCAAATAGAAGTCGGGGAGGACGGCTTTAGGCAGTGGGATGGTAAGACTTCACTGAAGACTGCCAGCGACTCATATTTGACCTTATATCTAATGTAGTAGACCCCATCCTCTGCAGTTGCATCAGTTAGAGCTAAAACACTCATTTGTAGTAACATCCAAGCAGCAAACACATTCATAAATCATTACAGCTGTTGTTGGGATTTTTTTCTAACCTCCTCTCGTTGTTTCTATTATTTTCTTTCTTTCTCTCTGCCTGTCTCGTGCTCCACAGTGATCACAGCTATGGACATGGAAGCCATGACCAACACGATAAAAGGCTGGATGGAGAACCCGGCAAAGTTCGCCCGCTCCCACGGCGTCGCCCTGGCTCCTGTTCCCGACGTGGCCAACCCTGACGAGCAGATCCACATCCTGATCGTTGAGGGCTTCCTGCTCTACAACTACCGGTATGTTGATTGACTGTTTACTTTTTGCATGGCTGACTGTTTATTTGAATCGAGTTAGGGATGTAGCTCTCGTTTGTTCTTGCTGTGAATGCAGCAGCCATCTTGGCTAGGTTACAGCTTCTATGTTCCAGACTAAAAGAAGTGCCAGAGATTGAGCCATCTTGGTTCTCTGGAACCCGAAGATTCACGTTTGCAGATGTTGTAAGGGTGTCGTTAGTTCTGTTGGGTCACGTGCTAATTTTGGATTGCTCCCATTTGCTCATGCTCACTAGCAAGCAGATTTGAGTTTGGTCTGCAGGCAGAGATAAGGCTTTCATCAGAAGGAGGCTCTGAGTGGTCGTTTGCAGTCACAGCAGGGTGGTGGGTACTCAGTGTACTAGTGATGAGTGTTAAGCAGGCTGCAGATGTATAGATAAAGGACGGCATGAACAGTTGTGTAACTCTGCTCTTTTACATGGAGGACGTCATGTGACGTGTGGTTAACACCTTTGTTTCTCCCCTTTAGGCCCTTGCTGGATGTTTTCAACAAGTGCTATTACATCGCAATCCCCTACGAGGAGTGCAAAAGAAGGAGAAGGTGAGCTGATTTTGTGCTCTCACAGTGTTCTACATTAATCTTATTGGTCATTCACTTACTTTATTTATTATTGTGATTTTAGTACCAGACAATACACAGTCCCTGATCCTCCTGGCCTGTTTGACGGTCATGTGTGGCCCATGTACCTGAAGCACAGAAAGCAGATGGAAGACCTCGGTTTGAATATTGGTACGATGCGATCACTGTCTATGTTTGTAAGCCAAATCTCATCGTGGTGTCCCACCCGTCTGTGGTTGGAGTTTTTATCAGTTTGTGGTGTAAAAATGTGTTTTGTGTTTTGTCGCAGAGTACCTCGATGGTTTGAAATCCAAAGAAGAAATCTACGACCAGGTGTATGAGGACATTCAGAACAACCTGCTCAATCGTTTATAGGTAAGAAGGAAGGACTTGAAGTTTTGAAGTTGTGATGGGAAATGTATTTAAATATTTATAACATTTTGCATGTAAAATGTGAGACCTTGTCTAACATTATTTAATTTTTTTTTGTTTTGCAGCAGGAGGACTCTTCTTCACACCTGTACAGATTTTGTAAATACCCAATGATTCTTTTTTTATAATGTGTATTTTTTTTTTGTACATAGAAAGGAGCCATGTTAACTTATGTTGTTTTTACCTTCTTCTCATGGACAAAATGTTTTTGTTTCATTAAAAGTTCACTAGTCGTCATTATTTTTGTCATGCCGTTGACCATTGTTGGACCACTGGTCTCCACCAGTGTCTCCTTCCAATAAACACACGAGTTTCTGTTAAATACAGATCATCAAAACATCTTTGTGTGGTTTTTGTCTGTTTTACTATCAACATTTCTACTACTTAACTTAACGTAGAAAAATAAGTTTAGTTTTATGTAGTTGTATAATTGGTGGTATTTCTGAGATCAAAACCGATGTGACAAACTTCCCCATCTCTTGCAGAGTTTTTGACAGTTTATAGATTAATCATAACGGCTGGTTTTCCTTTTGTTTGCCATTAATAAGTCACACTGATTAACTGAAGTGCAATATATTCATC